TTCAAAAAAATCTGACCAGGTTTATAGCCTGCTTAAATGCCTTCAGAAATGAGTTAAATCATCATCTGGATTTTAGTTAAAGTGGGGCATGTTAAACATAGCCGTAACAGGCATGCTTAAATGTAATTCCAGTGGGAGAAGGCTGCACCTCTCTGCATTTTGCAAGCTATTCTCTGCACTCAAAAGACAGTGTGCCATCAAAGTGACACTGGGGAGTCAAGGCTTTGCTGGGGAGGGCTGGGGTATTGTCAGGCATTGCAGAGGCTGGAATAGCTGTCAATCAGCATTATCTTATACATGATGCTCCCCCTCCCTCCAGCAGGGTCCCGTGTGGAAGGGAGTACTGTGGTTCCACCAGCTCAGCAGCAAAACAGCTTTTCCTCAGTCATTGTGACTGTCAGTGTAACAGGGGAATGGGTGAGGAGCAGGTCTTGCAGATTTAGCAGTTGGCCTTGGCTAACATTTCTGAAGTGAGGGTAGAACAAAACCTCTGAAATCCCACAGCAAGGGTAACTAGACACAGGTCTGACTTAACTCACTTTGTAACATAAAGAAAGACAGCTGTTTGTTGTACCATTACATCTAAGTAAACAATGGCAATTAAAGAGAGGGGAGAACTTTCATTACAGAGAGCAGTGCAGTGTAACGGCACTTCCTTTACCAAAAGGATGTGCTACGTTTGCAGAGGTAAATACAGAACATCTCTCTCTTACGGGAAGTACTAAGTACCCTAGTGCCCAGGTACACTAATACTGAACGTCTGGGAAAAAAAGTGAATGTGACAGCTGTAGTCTGCTACCAAATAGCTGTGCCACACGTCCAATCAGTATGATGCAGCAGACAAAGCTTCCAGACTGCATTAACAATGACTCACAGGAGTGTATTCATATGCTCTTGGAAAAAAATCATTTTACTAAGATACTTGACTTTACATTGCATACAACTTTATTACATTTGAGTTACAGGCATAATGCCAAGAAGTTTCATTCCATTAGCTAGAACCAAGCGTGCAGCTCGGAAGAGGCAGAGCCTTGCCTGCAAAATAAAAATACATCACTTACTTACTTACTTACTTGTTGCTACATAATAAGATATAGTTCTCAGGACAGCAGTTGGAAGCAGCCTGTTAAAAGCTAAGAACACTACGCCCATCCTTTGTTCCCATGTAGAACACTGAGATTCATACAAACATATTTTGAGTGCTGAGTAACAGTAATGCTGGTAGAACTTACATTAGCTGTTCAGAGGCCATTCCAGTGTCAACAAAAGCCAGAGAAACTGGTGTACAACTCAGTCTAATAGTGACAGTTATACATGCAGAACAACACCAATGAAACCCTGCACCCTCAGAGCAGTGACCAGAAAGAATGCCTGCAGAAGAGCTACTGACCTCTTAGAAGAAGAGCTAAAAAGTGAAAAGCTTTTATACATGACGCAACTGACACTAGTGGCTACTGCACAGGCTTTTAGAGGCTGAGGATATAGCTGAAATCCCTCCTCCCACTATGCTTGGGTTAGATACTATCAAACAACTATGGGATGCTCTGGAAATCTCACTCTTTGCTGGCTGTTTTGGGGGCAAGGTTTGATAGCCTCCTTCCCAAAATAGTTCTTGAAATCTGTCATTCACAGCGCAAGACATACAGAGGGATAAGGAACTGGAATTTTCTTTGTAGCTTGGACTTTCTCAGCTCTTCCCAAGAATACATGGAACCATCTCCAAAGGCAGGACTATCTATAGCATCTAAGCTCAACTGAAGGGTGCAGCTCCTCATTTTCACTTATTTCCCCACCCCCCACCACAATATGGCTTAACACTTGAGAATAATTTCTTACCAAAAGCAGATAGGTAATTGCTTTTGAAATAAATAAAAGAGAAAATGAAGACGACATGTTTTTTTTTTTTTTCCCGAGCAGTTAAGGGGTCAAACATCTCCTGAGAGATTAGCAGAAATTCATGCGCAGCTCTTTGGAACTGCACATTAACAGTTTTCAGCCTAAATGCTCTAGCGAACTAGAACGGCAACACAGACAATTTGGGATAGGTGACAGGTGAGAAGAAGGAGGAGAAATTCAGTCATCTCCTAATTCTCTTGTCTTCCCACATAAGAGCTGAAGGAAACTGTGAAACATTAACCAGCAAGTTAAATGCTCAAATAGTTGCTTAAAAAAACAGTTCAGAGGGAAAGGTGATGAGAAGGAAAGAGTTTCTTTGGATTTGGGGCAGTTCTCCTTATTGAGCCTTCTATTCTAGGACAATCACGCAGAGACGCCCTTTCCGGAAGGCACAGCCATGAACAGCTCCTGCCTTCCCAAAGTGGTGCCACCCTGCAAGCCCACCCTGATCGTTAGCCCTGAAGGTGCACGTTTTCCCAAGTAGTTCCAAAGTCGGGCTACAGCGCCGTACCAGATCATTCCTTGGGATGCCCTACACAGACTCTAGCCACATAAAAACACTGTGCTGTACCTGGGCGAGTTCAGGGGTGCTGCCTTTCACAAGAAGGGTTTTATGCGCCACAGCTGCAAGATGGCTGAAATGGAAAGCAAAATGAGAACAAGTCAGTCCCTCTACAACCCCAAGCAGCGCTGTGGGCTACAGAAACAGTAGAACTGGAAGAGCCAAAACTGCAGCATGCTATAGACTTATTTCCCACGGCTTGTTTTACCCCTTGTTTTATTACCCCTGTCAAAGCATGCCATCAACAGCGTAATGCTCTTAAAAACAACAGTCAAAACACCAGACAAAACAGGGCTGGAAATACTCTAGAGTGAAGAAGCCTGCGCTGCCATTCCTGAGATGTGTGATTCCTTAAAAAGATTTGTCTAACTTGTTAAAGACTTCCTCAAACACAGACTCTACAGCTTCCTCCAGCAAGTCTACTCCAGTGTTTCACTGTTCTGTTAAATCAGTGTCCCCTGTGGGGACAACTCCCTATGGAGGTTGCATACTCAGTTTGACTTATAGCAGTAATATGCTTTGTCCATCTCAACATGTTGGCTTAGATCAGCGTTTAAAAGGTTTCTGGACAAAATCTCCTAGTTGAGGTTGAGAGCTTATATCAGCTCAGAGCTACTCTTTAAGACATGATTAGTGCTGCATGATTTCAGGACCAGGTGCTGGGTTAGAGCTAGGTGATTATTTTGGCCAGAAAGCATTTAGTTTTTCGAGGAGGCTTCGGACTCCTTTGTTCCTGGTTCCAAGCTTGACCGCTATTATTTATAATATTATTTGCTATCCTGCTTTACACTATTCCTGCATCAAAGAGACTGGCCCACAACTTTACATCCTGTTATCACCATTTTTACTCTTCAAAGCAGTGCAGATAGGAGGGCTGCAGAGCCAGGTCAGGAAGAGAAGCACTGCCTGTGCTTACCCCAGAGGTATGCCAGTACCAGCAATGACCTTACCTAAGTGTGAGGAGATAGCTGACAATGTGCTTGGGTTGCAGATCTTGAGAAGATCTATACAGGACCTCATCATATCTGCGAAGAAAGAAAAGGACTGTTTGGTGTTAACAGAGGAAGGAAACTGTAGTCGCAGACTCATCAGACTTGCTTAAAATCAGAACAAATACACAGTCACGGCTGCAGAATTAACAGTATTCTTCTGAACCAGGTCTAAGCTATGTAGTTAGCACAGAGTTATTTCTTTCTCCCCATTCACTTATTGTTGGAAAGAGGTTGTTGCTACTCCTCATCACGTAAACACTGTAGACTGCAGAGCTCAAAGAGGCATGCTATGGCAAAGAAAACATACAAGCTGTATTTGATCCCGGAACGCTATGTCTGGTTTTACATTTCAACACTGATTCTAAGTTCCAAGGAGCAAAAAACATATATTAAACAACGAAGGCAGTCAAAAAGTAGTCCTTTAAAGGATGTTGCCTTTAATAACCACAGCTTAGAATTTTAAGTAGTGAAAGGGGATCTTGTAACATTAGAAGAGACAAAACAGTATGGGTTTACATAATCCTGAAATAAAATCTACTTATGTAAGGCAGTGTTAAACCGGAAAATACATGCAGACATCCAAGGCTCTTCTTCATGTGTTCTGCTGTACACTTGTGCACATTCTCTTTTTCACAGCCTAGAGGAAGTTACCCACCATCTCTGGGGGTGAAAAACTTTCAAATTCAAAGCTAGGAAGTGGGGAAATGGACTTCCTGATCTTTGGTCAGCTCCCAAGCCCACCCCTACCAGGATGCCCAAGGCAAAATTCTCTGGGATCTTCCTCCTTTGAAGGCAACTTGTACTAGAACCAGGGAGCAGGCTCTGATAGTAAGGGCTCACTGGTCATATGGGAGCTGTAGCACCAGGGAGGGAGAGCTGCCCAATACCCCCAGTAGGTAAACCAGAAAAATGTCTCTCGGGGGCATTCAGAAGCTCCCCTCAGCCAGCACGCCTCAGGTGGTCACTGTTCGAGCAGGGAAGGTTGTTCCCATTACACCACTTGAACAGATGAGATGAAACAAAATCAGGGCAACTTATGCATCAACTCAGGGACAACCTGGATACCAGCAGCTGTTGACCCATCAGAGACAGCAACATAGTTTAATAAGCACTTCCCAAACGACCATTAATAAAGCTTCATGAAGCAACAAAGCTAGTATCAAATGAAGGGCACAGCTGCCATATGAGTCTTGGCCTGTAACAACTTGTTAGATTATTTATCAGTAACTAAGTCCCATTTCTGCAGGGGCATACATGCTACCTTTAATCTACTATTCAATGGTCTGCACGGTTAATGGTTTCAGAATTGGTCAGCTAACTTTAAGAGCAAATGTTTGACACCTTCCTTGTCAAATAGCACAACCATAGCCATGGAAAGTGGGGGTCTGACAACTCAGGACTGCTTATCATGTAAACTTTCTAAGAAAAATCTACTCTTGGCGGTTCACAAAAAGGAATGGACAATTATCGTAACTTCTGAAATCACAGGATATTCAAACATGAGTTTGTTAGCCACCAACTGCCTAGTCCAATGGGGAGCCAAAACATTGCTTCCTGCAGCAAGTAAAGGCCCCAGGAGATAATTCATACAGATTCCAGATGCTGCTTGACCTGGCTCAAAAGCCCTTGCAGTGAACAAACCTGAAGCTCTATAAAAATAAGAGATGTGCAGAGGAGCAAGAACCTCTGCTTGAAAGCAGACACGTGTCAAGTACACAGCAGTCCCTGCAAAACATCCTGCAGTACATTAACCCTGTCAATTTCCACACAGAAGACAGGCAGCTACGTGCTAATCCAATAAAAACTGAGGAACAATCCACAGGTTTTCTGTGAAATACAATTGCTCTGGATAAATAGGACTGCCGGTCTGATCTAGTCAGAGTGTTGGCTGGTCAGTGAAGTCATGGCTGGTCTTCCTGCTGCTCAAGAGAGCGTACAGCACGTGACAAATGGAAGGCAGGCATTTTGAGGCAATGACAGTGAATGGCAGGACTCTACAACCTAGAGTCTCAGGCAGGAAGAAGCCAACTGGGACTCTGACACGGGCAATGACTTTAGGGGGTCCAAATTTTAGAAGGGTGCCCTCAAGGAGGCCTTACTGTGGCCAAAGGAGTTAACTCTCTGGAACTGCTCACAGTGCAGAGCAGTCAACAAGACCTTTACTAGGAATTCTGAAAGCCTCAATCACTTCCAGCTCCACCAGGGGCTGTGCGACATGGACAACTCCCCTAGTCTCTGCACTATAATTTCACACTTATGAGATAGTGAAAACAGCAGCGGCTCAACTTGAAGACTAAGTTAATGAAGAACACTACTACTACTAACAGGTATTAATCATGCACATCCTTCACAGTTACTGAAGGCATACGTTCACGTTCCATTCCACCTCACCCAGGAGCACTCCCTCTCCCCTTTTCCACATGACCAAAATAGCACAGGAGAATCCAAGTGAATCTGCAGTTAACATTTATATAGGGTTTAGGATATTTTTGTGAAGATAAGAAGTAATTAAGAGACTCAGTCACACAGAGTATGTTCGAAATGCTGCTTTTTCCACTCATATGGTTTCTAAAGCCTACATACTCACTCACGGAATTTTTTCAAGGGAGGGTTACTGTTGCAACCAGTATGGTCCAGTGGACAAGCCATTGCCTAAAATACCACCGTTCTCTTACGATTGCGCAGTCTGTGCCTGCTCTACAGGCTGGCAGCAAACTTCACAAGTCTATTTTAAGGGAAGTGGTATTTGGAAAGAAAATTAAACAAACCTGAGAAGATGCTGAAGAACTGAGATGGCCTCTGGCTCTTGCAAGCATGCTGTGTTAATATCAGTCAGCTGCTCATTCCCATACATCTGTTCTAAACTAAAAAACATAAGAATCAAAAACAAATGCTGGATGAAAAACCCTCGTTAGCCAAGCTGAACAGAAAGTAACAATAACTTGTATTTTAAGCAGAAAGTGTAGGCATCTTTTGCTCAAGCTCAAAAAAACATTTGAAACAGGCTACGTGATCTCAGTTCAGGATAAAAAGTAATTTAAAATTTGTGCTAGACATTCAGTATCACCAAGTTTAAAAAAGATATTGGACATATGCATGGCGTAGAGGCTGATGCTACAAGGACTAGGGAGGTATTCAACATCCCTATTACAACAGTTCTGCATGCTGAGGGAGTACAAAAGGAACAGACTACAGAAAGGGATCAGGCTTGCATGCGATCCCTAAATAGCATCTTTTATTACCACTGTCTCAGACAGAATACCAGGCTGGATGGACCACTGGTCTGATCCAACAGGGTATCTCACATACTCTTAGAAAATATATTTCCACGTCTGCAATAAAAATGCTCTGAAAGAACACCGGAAGTGATAAAACTGTTCAAACTGTTCTCCTGAAATTCTTAAAAAAAAACAAAACAAAACAAAAAATTAAACACCTGTCAGATGCTTGACCTGGATCAACAAGAACAGTCTTACCTTAAACCTCGGGTTAGCAACAGTAGGAAATAACAGAATGTGAGATAACACTAGCTACAGTGGCAACCCAAAACCATCTAAGTCCTGTAATTTGGTGTATTTTGCAAATTCAAGCACCTTAAATTTTGGATCATTGATTCCCGAGTTTGAGGGTCACTGTTCTTCATCGCTGACACCAACCCCTCACAGAGGCTGTCCCTAGACCTGTGAAAGTAGAGGGTCAGCTTAGCTCAGCCCTATGGAGATGAGGAAGAAATTTCATTTTAATTGGCTTACTCTTTTGGGAAGTCAGCTGAAAGAGTAAACATTGTATTTAGAGAAGATTCCAGAAGTAGTAAGTTAGTGAAGCTAAAATAGGTGTCAAACAGTGCACTCGTGCATATAAGTATTCCTCTCACCTGTGCAGTCTGGCATGCGTGTACTGCAAGAACACACCCGTATCTCCCCGACTTTGAAGAGCTCTATCCCAGCTAAACTGATAATCAGATGACAGAAGGCCCTGGAAGTCCTAGAACAATAACTCAAATCAACGTCACCTCGATATGGCTCCCCGTCTCAAACTTATAACCGCTCACAAAAGATGCAAACACCACTAGAAGCAGCTCAGACTCACCTGAATTATTAGCGCTGCAAGACCAACCTTCTCTGCTGTCTCCACAGGGTTTTCTATCTCTTTGGTTGCTGAATAGAAATAGAAAGAAATTTTAAGTCTATAATAGTACAACTCCCTTGCCCAGACCTGGAGATGCCAATGAAACAGCAGACCTTGCAAAATTGTTAACTAGCACCACATAAATTGTCAGGATGCACACAGCAAGAAGTCCAGGATACAAACCTTTCTTAGAAGTTAAAAACATAGCTATTTCAGACTTCCTTTTTTCCCCTTCCCTTAATATGCATGATATAGACTTTACAGTCAGAAAGGGCCATCGCAACAGCCTAAACAACACTAACTTTCTCTTCATGATTCAAACAGCCAATCTCTAACACCAGGAAGAGAACGATAAAGGAATTCAGTTCTCATTTAAAAGCTCCAAGTGATACACCTAAACAATTCAAGAAAAATTGTTCCAATGGCTAATGACTCATACTCAGAAGTGCATTTAGGGAGTATTCACACCATCTGCTGTAGACATCTAAACTGACTATGTTCAGAGAACCTACCCTGAGGGGCCAGATTTCTCTATCAAGCCAAGGGAAAAAACTAGTCTTACCCACAAATAGGCTGAGTAAAGGCAATCTAGGGCATCCAAGTCTAAAGAAGCCTAACATTAGAGCATGTGAATACTGCCTTTAAAATTTCAGCTCTAATTTCACCTAACTTTACCTTCTCTCACTAGACGTTATTAGTTCTTTGACTAAAACCCCTCTTCTGTCAGGAGTCTTCTCCCTGGGTATAGATACGGCGAGAGCCTCTCTTTTCTAATTAAACACACCGAAGTCTATCACTAAAAAAACCTAATTATTCCGGAAGTGTCTAAGAGAGAATGCCCTCACAACAGCTGCAGAGACATGTCTGCAAAACTATTTCCAGCTTTTTCACAACTCAGTGGTGTTCTTCAGCAGATAAGCAGCATCAACAGCACTTCAAATGTTGGATCTTCACAGAGATCAACTACTTGTGCCTGGACACACTAACCTTGCCTAGTGAAAAGGTGCTGCTTTTGACACACATAATGCTTTCCGTTTTTAAACTCAGATCACAGCGCTCTCTGTCAGGGTCTCCTCCTCTTCCTATTTGTGTCTACTGGAGAGAAAGGAGAATTCATAGTTGCCTTTACAAGGCAAGTATGCTCCTCTTTAGCAGGGCCCATAGTGCATTTTTTATTTGTGGTCTACGAGTTAAATTTGCAGAGTTCAGGCTATAAATTGCTGCCCCAGCTGATCTTCCACTAACAGTAGAAGATGGAGAATACAGCTGTTATCTTAAGGCACCTTTTAAGTGAAAACAATTTGCAGTACAGTTTTAGTACATGCATATCCCCACCTTTTGCTCACCTATGTCTTTGTGCCAGGCCTGCAGAATCAACTGAGACAATTTTGAATGGTTTCTACTATTCATACCTTTGCTATTTACAAAATTCAGAAAGGACTAAGCTTGAAATGTGTGGGACAGCTTATAGCCCTGAGAAGTCTCAGGCTGTCTATTCACTTACAAGGACAAGTATGTTTAGATTACATTACATTTCGTAACAGAGATTTGTTTCAAAAGAAACAAAACAACCACCTCAGAGTTCAGGCTTTTTTGTTGATTTTGTTCTTAAAGATGAAAACTAACATTCTGCAAAAACTGAGTCAGCAGTGGGTACTAGATTTAAAAATATTGCACCATTTTGCCAAAGGAAAACCTTGCTAGTAGCACTGTTAGATGAGATGCGAGGTGGGACACAGACGAAGATATCTACCAAAAAGTAAAGAAGTAAAGAAATGGTATTATTAGGGCTCATTGAGATGAGTAAAAAGAAAAAAGAATGCCAGTAACGGAAACTTAAATAGCAGAAGAACCACGCACAACTAATAGCAAAGGCAGAGTTTACACAAGGTATTTGACGAACCAGCTCCACACAGGCATGACTTTTAAAGCTAGCACTGGATGTCCAGCTCCCACAGCCTCTTCAGTGAGAGTCAGGCATCTTGGTGTCACACGTATTTACAGTATCTTCCACTGCATACTTAACACTTTGCAAACACTGAAGACAGCACTGTGAATCAGGAATTTGTGATCTCCATTTCAGGAAAGCGGCAGCAACGCTAGAATTCAAACATTAAGGGGGAAAATTTTCACAGGCATGGGTATGATATACGATCTAATGGACAAACTCTGGGGAACGTTACAGTGTCATCGGAACTCTCTGCTTCCTTTGGCTGTTCTCCTGCTTATCGCTTGCGCATGTTAGTTCACTCTGGCATAAAAATACTTTTGCTTTGAGCTCACCTATGATGCTGAGCTTTAAACTGAAGGTCTAGCTCCATTCCTCTCTGCAGTAATACAGGCTCGAATAGTGAATCACCCTTCTATCACTCTGCCCACCTGCCTTCTCCTTGTTCAATACACAAGCAAAAGTTATCTGGATTTAAAAAGCTGAAGAGGCAAAGCAGGGAATACAGGCATTACTTAACCTGATTGGTTCACCAATTCCGTTTAGCATGTAATCCCAGAAAGCACAAGACAGGGGGCAGCACTTCACTGAGAACTGCTTAAATCATCTTTGCTTCAAAGAGGAAGCAGTTCCGAGAGCCGCGATCTGAAGTGCCAGCAAAGGAGTTCTGCAGATTCTGCTGCAGGGAGGTGACCTGCCTCCCTGAGGGGACTCAGGAAACAGGCTTGGAGGATGACAAGACAGTTGAGTATCAGACAAGCTACAGTTAATCTTGCCAGACAAATCTGTCAGAGCTACCAGTCCCTTGGCTGAAACCTGACTGTGCCCGGAACTTCAGTCCCAACTCCACTACTGCCTAGTTTTTCCCTCCTGAAAAAAGCACCTGTTGTCACATCAAGACTAGGTAGTAGAGCACGGTGAAATAATTTTACTGAACGTTAAGATCTGCAAATCTGTAACTTAGGGAAGTTCGCAGAGGCACAAAGGATTATTTTAACACTGTCTATATAAAGGAAGACGGAAAAAGTGTGAAGATGGGAGCGTATCCCTGACTGGTCTGATTCAGGGGAGAGGGAAAGGTAGAAAAGACAACAGGGTTTTGATCAACACAGAACACCAAATAAAATGAATAAGATCTGAAATGGCTAACTTTTTGCAGAGGCCATGTTTTGTAACATCCTTGAGCGAGCTTCGTCTAAAACATCTTCCAGGAAAATAACTTCTCCTCTCCGAGTCTTCATTCCTTGAACTAACCCAAAAGACACATGCTGACACCTGTGTTGAAAAGCAGCAGGACCTAAAATTACATTTTAATCAATAGAAAGGTTTGCAGTGTTTGTTCAGAGCTGGATTCCAACCAGGAACCAGCAGTAACAGCTGAATAAACAGTGCTCCAACGTGCGAAGCTTGGTGATATAATCAGTAACTCTGATTTCAGCAACCAAAGCTCCCTATGCATTATATAATGGGAAAGTTATGATCAGAGTTATGATAACCTGGGCATTTGTGTGCTCTTGGGAACCTCTCTTGCTACTAGCTTTAATATGGAGAATTCAACGCAATAAAACGAGGAGAGGCAGGATGTGGACAGATCAAATTACTGTGACAACACAAATTTGTTAATAACATCAGAAAGAGAGTCATAATAATTTTATTGTGGCTACATTAAACTAAAAGTGTAATTAATCATCACTACTAATAAAACATTTGCTGTTTCTGCTCACAGTAATCTCGAGCACTAGTCTGGACCCATAACCTAAAGTAATTCTAGTTTAAGGACAGTGACAGCAATATTCCTGAAGGCTAAAATCCTATCTTAAATGCAAAAGACAGGCGGTCTCTCTGAGAAAGGAATAGCAGTTAGTTTCCAGATCCATTATTGACCTTTGCTCAGGGTGCCAAGAAGGTTGGCAACTACAATGAATAACAGTGGGGATATTTATCCCTGCAGTAGATATTTCAGCTCTGAAGCACGAGGAATTCAGATCTTTGCAAAAACGTACTCCAAGAAGTATTCTTCTAATGTGCGAAGAAACATCACCTCAAAGGCTATGCCATAAAATCAAAAGTTTTTGTTTCCCTTTTTCCCCACTTTCACGGTAAGAAGTTATGAAAGGCCCATTAAATGACTGACAGGGCTACTGTTTTTTCCCCTCCTAAGAACATGGCAACGTCTGCATTCACAAATAAAGTAGATCAGTAGGAGCAAACCTGTAGAGTGAAACAGTTGGTGCTGAGTACATGATGCCCACATTGCACACAATTCTGGGGGTATTGTTTTGTTTTTTCCCCTCCGCTTTGGACTTGGGTCCTGGAGGCAGAACGTTTGCTTGCCTGTGGTTCGTTAGTGGCACATCCAGGGCACATCTTGTGGCTTAGTTTCATTCACAATGAATCAGTTCACACACTCCAAAAATGCCTATGTGATGTGCTAGAGCACAGTAGGTGGGGACAACTGTGAGTCTCTTCAAAAGTACACTCAGCAGAAATGCTAATGTATATGCACCCTTTCTTACCCCAAAAAGATGTATAAAATTAAGACCCATATATGCATACCTTTGTGCCCAGTCATAACCCATTAGCTTCAGTATTTGGAACAAATGTTGAAAGTGATTATTTTGACTTTTATCTGTCTGAAAAATAAAATTGATGTATATTAGAAGACAGTCCAGGTTAGGTAAGTATTAGCTTTTAACATACAAACACAAAACACCAGAGATACTGTGTCATTATGTCATTGCAAAAAGCATTAAGACCTATGAAGGCAGACAAGGCTTGAAAAATATTTGAAAATATCTGGAATATTAAAATATTTGGAAACAGAATTTTGCGTATTTCCAGAAAAAGTAATCTGCCTCTTTGAAACGGATTATTCCTAAAATAAATGCAAAGCCATAAATTCAAATGAAACCTTGATGTTCTTCAGTTTCACATAATCTGTCAGCTGCCTATCACATAAGATGCCTCCATTTTCACTTTCAGAGCCTTGCTGCTTTTGGTATGTTTCCACGTTTTACATGACCAAACCTCAAGGCTCCTTTAGCTTAGAGATAGAAAATCTCTCAAAGCCTATCAATAATATAACATATTTATATGATATACCTATCAATGATGTACTCATATAGGCTGACGTGGTTTCTGATGAAAGTCAAAAGGCAGCCCTCATTCCCTGGGCTAAGCTCACTATCTCCAGAACCCACTAGTTTCTGTTGTCTCCCGTGTGACTTGTGGGGCTTTACATATATGTCTGGTACATAATTTAAAAAATACAAATTATTATATTTTCATATTAATGATGCATCCTGTGCTCCCTTCAGCTTCCAGTTACTCTCTGTCATGACTCAAGGTAGTTTCTACTGGAACTTCTTTTTATCTAAGAATGATCTTCGTATGTGTTTCCAACCACAATTGTGGCTGCAAAGTTCCTTTTCCTATCTAGTGAGCATGTCACTCACAGACGCTCCTATATCCCTCATTAAAAGAAAAGAAAAAGAAAAGAAAAAGGAGACAGGAGAGAGGAGGAAAAAAGAAAATAAAGAAAATAAAAGGACAGCACTGGAGTCATCTTTAAATAAATAGTATTTTCTCTTTTGTTGGTATTTTGGCACAACGTGTGAGCAATGAGTGAAGTGCTCGTCTGTATATCTTTACTGTACCACTGCATCAAGCCTAAAGCATCTGCCTCCATTTTCATAGTTTCTCAGAATTTATTCTTTTCCTGTATATCACCTTTCACTGTGCAGACCCACAAGCAAGGCTGATAAACGAGCAGCAGTTGTCAGCAATTCAAATGAGTCCTTCCAAGCTCTTTTCCACGCACCTCACATGTGGGAGAAGCTCTCTGTAACCACAGCAAAGCCAGCTGTCTTCTGCTAAAATATCTAACAATAAACTTTATGAAGTGTAGGTTAAAGCCAATTCATTGTACTGGCCAGCACTGCCTTGCTGTTTTGCCTGCTCCACATCATGTCTCAACTTAACTCTATTCTCAGGTTTTAGAAGAGATTGTAAACCTTGTGACAGAAATTGGGTTTAAAACTGGTTTTCTTTTGTGCATACACAGTACCTCAGCATACACCTGGACCATGGCCACAGCATTTAGGAGTTCTTTAGCGAGTTGGAGCCATTTGCAAGCAAATAGTGTGAAAAATCATCACAACACCTGCTCACAAAAGACTCCAATCCTTCAAAGACTTTATTGCTTTACTGTGACTGTTCACAGTGCAGAGTTTTCAGCTAAAACTGAAGTTTGCAATTGCTTGTCTGAACAGTGTAAATAGAAATAGCATACAGAAAAATATTTAAAATTACTAATAGACAATAATAAAAAATAATCTAAGAGATTATTCTTAGAATCCTATAAGTTCTCAAGAAAATATGTACGTTAAGACTGAAGTCAAGTTGAGAATACCTATCACTCAGTACAAGCTAAATTCCAGGTTTCAGATGGCCACCTGAAGACTAAGCATCCGTCCCTGTTTTGCATGCTGTGTGATACCAAAAGGAACATAGTAATGATTGTTATTTACAGCTGAAGTTAAAATTGTGTGAAAGTCAAAATTGTTAAGAAGGATGGAAATAAACAGGAGTACCACACAACTTCACCTCTGCCTAAAAGTAATACTCAACATGTGGATGTGTACGTAGGAAAAAAAAGGATGAATCTGAAGACACTATAGTTTCACAAAACACTGTATTTTTTGCACGGCCTCAAAGCATTACAAAAATAACACAAATGTTTAAAAGATGCTTCATATGACAAAGAATACCCATGTTTTCCTCACGGTCCTCAAAAGTATGCCTATCCAAACACATAGCCTGAGCAGCCTCAGTGTCTACCGTTACGAGAGAAGTTTGCAGACTGACAGTGGGGATTATACTTAATTTTTCAAATATAAAAAGAGTTTCCAGTTCCTGCTTTAAGGGCAACATTCAGCTTAATCTTAGCAGCTCTTTAATAAATGCCATGCTTTGGATCTTGTTCATATCACCTGCATTCTTATGAAGTAGGGACTTTTAATATAAATTAGTGTACGCACTGATTTACAGTATTACAACTGATAAACCAATTTAGTGTTCTTTTAAACAAGTTTCAATGGTCTTATGAAATAAGACTCAGAAGTCTCTAAATACATTTCTTATTATAAGATATTAAGTATCAGGATTCTGAAGTACATCTGTATTTAATAACTGAAGACTAAAGTCATCAGTGTTCTCTCATAAACCTGCGAAGCCCTTCCCTCTGATAGCAGCGAACATAATCCTAACCCACTAAAAAAGCACATCCATACAGCAGCAGCCAGGCTCAGTAGGGCTAAGTCCCGCTCATCAGGCAGTCTGTTCCCCAAACTCTCGAAATAGTTTACGCTATCACTCTCATTTTATGACCCACTTTATTGGTCCTCGCAAAGTCAGAAACGACAGAAACACTAACCACGTTATCCAAAAACTAAGCAACCTTAGCAAGTTTGAGAGAATAGGACCAGACGGCCTAGTTTGTCATTGCCAACTTGAATGCGACATTGATTATAATGGCCACATTAATCACATGACAGGGCAGTTTTGCTGCCTATTTTGTATGGACTAGGAGTAGATCACAGAGGTCCAGGCGGGGAAGTGAACAGTTAGGAGTTCCGCTATGAGCGGCTAGCCAGCTTAAGACTACTGTTTCCAAAGTTGTTCGTTCTACTAGCCTAACGTTCAGCCCATATCCTAATTTGTGCAGAATGTCTAGCTATTTTCTTTCTTTCTAATTACTTCTTCTTCCTTGGTCCCTGCTACCTTATGGCTTAACAAACACAAATAGAGATAACTACCTACATTCATGAACTAGGTGGGAAGCTTCCTTAACTCCTAACGCATTGCACTTCCACAGCCACACTGCTCTCTGATGCCAGTGAATCTAGTATGTTGCAGTCATCAGAGAACAAAAAAGAAAAAAAGAAAAAGAAAAAACCACACACCCCTGTTCTATGAACACGTGTGGAAATGACAAGCTAATGGAAGCTTCCTGAGGACTGAAAACAAAAGGATAAATGCAACTGAACCCAAAAGTTAAAGCTTAAAAGAACCTCGGTATTTAATTGTATGCTTACTGATCATCCCTCTTCCCGAATCATGGTATTTGTAACACTGTATTGGCTTATGAAAGAGCTGTACTAGAGGAGATAGACAGGTATTGCCAAGCATTTCACAAAGTACATGATAGAAACCTGTAATTTTTTTCCACAAGTCATTAACTGATTTCTCGTAATAGAATGTGGTTTTGAAAACTTTTTCCCCCCCCTTAAATCTGGAAACAAAAAGTGTAAAAGCATCATGTTGTATGTACTTGATAGGTCTAAAGCAAAGACGTTTCAAACAAGAAGATAATCCTGCCATTCATTACTGATATTGTTGGAATTGTTAAAAAAACAAACCTATCCACCCAGAAACATAAAAAGACTCCCTGTCAGCAACTGCTTTGTCCAGATTGACTAAATAGGACTTCACATGCAATTCCTAGTGAATGAAATTGATTTACTGTTCAAAGTTACAAAAATCTACATTACTGATAGCATCAGGACTTTAGACTTATATTCACCTTAGAACATCAATTTTTTTACATTTTGTATCTCCTTATAACACTAACAGCTTTTTCTAACTTGGTTAAATATTAATTACAACATTTAGAAAATGTAATGTCAGTTGAATAAAAGTTCCTTTAAAACAAATTGCAGTGAATTTTTAAGACAGAGAGCAACCCCAGAGCTGATTTTTCGACCATTTTGTGGGTCATTAACTGAAACAGAATCAAGAAACACTGCCACATTAAGGCACAGCTGCTGTGCAGTAAGGACTGTGTATTTCAGTGCCAAAAATACCATGTGCCAAAGTCCTATTGGGAACAAGAGGCCCCCTGGATTATTGGAGAGATTCAGGCTCAGTGTTCAGTGAATCTAGAATTACTTACCACATAAATCATAGTATCACAGTTATGTTTATTCATTCGATCTATAGCAGCAGCAAGATCTCTGAAAGAGATAATGAGAAACTGTTTGGACTTTCATTTAAACTAAACATACCTCATTATGTTGAGGCCTGGGAAAATTAGTCTGGCAGTTTTCTCCCCTCCATAAGAGCAGATAGAGGAATTCATGTATGCCTTACATACAAAAAAAAGACACCTATACTTTGTTCACTGCATGTGTTTGAAATGTTTTTTTTTCAAGCCATTAGCTATGAAAATTATTCAGGAAAGAGTTTTTATGTACAGAGTAAGTCTTGTCTCTGTCTGCCTACTGGGATGATCAATCAACTGGGAAACTTGAGAGAAATAACCCTTTCCTGGAACGCTAACCCAGTGCTCAGTGTCAGGTTATGCGACAAAAAATTCGTCCTCACACAAAGGAACATAGAGGGACAATGGCAAGTGGGGAGTCGCAATGACAAGTAACACCCGCCCCATCCCCTCCCAGGGCTGTTCTAGGAGAGCCATAAACCTGCCCCACTGTCCAGGTGCAAAACCCAGCAAGATGAGTCAATGGGAGTGGCTCTCCAGATCACCTTATAGACTGAGGGAGGTTATTGCCTAGAGATATGGGATACATTATGGGATGCAAGGAAAAAGCATTTTGGGATTGTACAACACTTATTATGGGATGTTTAGGAGAAGAATCAAAGGCAGGAAAAGGGAAGGATCAAGATATGTGGCAAAACAGAGGGATAAGGGGACAAAGGGAGCCGGTCCCCTGTTAACAGGGCTGGTCAGTATGCTTTTCCAGCCATGCCCTGTACCTGATCAGCACAGTCTGCCCTGTCTTCTCATTACACTCCAGTTCTAGCTGTTCTCCTGGGTGAGGGGCTCTCTTCTGCGTGCATGTGTCTATGGAGGTCCAAGCGCCAGCCACTTGAGTTGGGTACCATGGGTCATAGGGGCCCATTTGCCCGAGGCACTCACTGCTGGAAAGACTGGGGTGAGTGAAATTAAGTACTAGCAATTGCAGTCAGACCATGGGTCACAGAGACCCAATCGTCAGTGGTGCCAGCAACCAGGCTGAGGGTACACATGTGTGTGATCACCAGCGAACATCAAGCCACACTAGCCAGTGAGTAGATCAGGAGGCTTGGGAGCCAGAGAGCAGTGTGTTTGTGTGTGTGTGTGTGTGTGTGTGTGTGTGTGTGTGTGTGTGTGTGTGTGTGTGTGTGTGTGTGTGTGTGTGTGTGTGTGTGTGTGTGTGTGTGTGTGTGTGTGTGTGTGTGTGTGTGTGTGTGTGTGTGTGTGTGTGTGTGTGTGTGTGTGTGTGTGTGTGTGTGTGTGTGTGTGTGTGTGTGTGTGTGTGTGTGTGTGTGTGTGTGTGTGTGTGTGTGTGTGTGTGTGTGTGTGTGTGTGTGTGTGTGTGTGTGTGTGTGTGTGTGTGTGTGTGTGTGTGTGTGTGTGTGTGTGTGTGTGTGTGTGTGTGTGTGTGTGTGTGTGTGTGTGTGTGTGTGTGTGTGTGTGTGTGTGTGTGTGTGTGTGTGTGTGTGTGTGTGTGTGTGTGTGTGTGTGTGTGTGTGTGTGTGTGTGTGTGTGTGTGTGTGTGTGTGTGTGTGTGTGTGTGTGTGTGTGTGTGTGTGTGTGTGTGTGTGTGTGTGTGTGTGTGTGTGTGTGTGTGTTTCTAAGGATGGGGCACCTGAAGAGCTGGCTGCAAGAGAAACCACAGGGTCTAGGCCAACTGTCAGAGACACCATAAGGTATGGTGATTGACAGATACCCATTTGCCTATGTATGTCTCTTATGTCTCTGCATGGGAGGCAACAGGGTAGACTGAGGATCCAGGACTGTGCAACTAAGCTCAGTAACTGCAGGGATCATGTGCGCATGTGTGTCCAAGCAAGTGGACTGGAGCTCACATGCCCAGGTGCAAGCAGCCAGGGGATTAGGTAGCCCAGGGGCCAACTACGGGGTAGACTGAGTGTCTAAGTCCAGCTACTGTACTACATTGTATATATGTAAATATTTCACAGTAATGCACCTTCATCCTCATCAGCCAGAGAGGGGAACAAGATGAGGCTGTCTGTGTTTAGGTGAGTGCTGAGCGTTTCTGTTCATGCTGTTCTGTGTGGCCAGCCATATGTATACGCATATTGCATACCTGTGTTTGTCTGCGCGCCTACTTGTAATACGTGCTCAGCCCCACTGCTGGTTCGACCCGGGGGCATGAAGCTGCGGCAGCCTCACCTCTATTGGCCTACCATATTCAGCAACGTCCTAACGCTCCGCATCGACCCCAGCTTATCTCTAGTACCTTCATCCTGAAAAGTTGTTCACACAGTTTACCCTGAGGGGTAGCCATTTGGTTTATTGATATTACTGGCCCAGACAAACCGTTAAGACTTTTTTGCTGAAGTACCCAAGAGGAATTTTAGGATACTGATGAAAAGGCAAGAATATAGTGATAAAACTGATGATACTGTGCAGCCATTGGTTTCTGCATCACACATTGTCATTAAACATTATAAGCAAAGGTCCTTCTAAAACCCTCACTATTGGCATTTATTTACTAGGTGAAGAGAAGGCGGCTTTGTTTTCAAGGAAGTAGCTGGAGAAAACATTACTATTTATGGAAAGAAGAAATTTAGAAATGGCTGTTTGAGGGGAGGAAAAGTATTTAAAAACAACTTTTTTCCTAAGCTATTTCTGTCCTATCACAGTTAAGTCGCCAGTTTCAGTACCAACTACTCACTAGTCAAGGTGTCCCATCCCAGAAATAAAATGCTTCAAAGTCTGTACCATCAGTTACAAACGTACTTGTGCACAAGAGTTCGCTAACAAAATAAACCCCAATAAGCACAAAGCGATTTACTTACCTTGTTATATACAGAGATGACCCATCACTACGCATGACAGTGGCAAATGATGAGAGGTCTTTCTTTTCTGAGACATCCACAATTCCTGTCCCTTTCCTGTAATTTGACAAAAAACACTGAAGTTACTGCAAGTCAGATCTGAAATACAGGTAATTCTGGGAAGACGGAGGTCAAAAGCAAACCTCTAGTCATGCCACCCCAATAACTTTGGGCAATCTCATTCTTTCTTTTGAATGACTGTCTCCTTTAAGTCTTTTCGAAAACTATACCTTTAGCCTTGTTCTGCTGATGTCAGAGAGCTGCCTGCACACATTCTGGTGCGTTCTATGACTATAGCTTCTATCCCAGGTACGATAGGTGCACATCAGGGCAAAGATCTCATCCAAGTTAAATGAGAAACAGCACATGCAGCTACCAAACTAATCAACAGCCTAACAGGCCATTAGGAATTGACCACTGTCACTGAACCCATTTTGGCATTGCCAGGCTTCTGTGCTGCCTACAAGAAAACCACAAATTTAATTTTTTAGGTGTTGCACAAATCATGTTGGTCTTCTATGAGAACAGCTACTGAAACCACCTAAAGAAAACACGCCTTTAGATTACATTATACACATACCTCATTCATCATCTCTCATTTGAAACACAACTGAAATGTAAAGGAAAACACAACAATAGACTGAATAATCAGGTCATACGTTGTTTTCTGAAGGAGTCCTTTTTCCTCCAACATCTTCAGAACTTCCTGCGACTTCTCTTGATAAAATGATTCTCCAGAATACTCATCAAAGTGCACTCCTAGTCGCTGAAAGGAAAGAATATCAAAGAAGGGAAACACGGTTAGACTGAGGCTAATCATTTCTTAAGTCAAGTCAGATGACAGGTCTGTGTCACAAGCCAGAGAGAGAGAGCAAAGATGGACTTTTTCCCAGGAAATGTCACTGTGTTGTTAAATAGAAAGGATGTTTGGATTTTGACTTAATCTAATTTTGCATTACAGTTAATCTCCCTGAGTTGCATATAGCATTAGATATGCTGTTACATGAGAAATTAAGAGTAAACTGAAGACAGTGCTCAGTATAAAAATTCCGAGGTAGTTCATTAACTGGCTGAAAGGGAGAAAACAAACAGCAGGCCACACTGCAGGTGAAACCGGTGAGCTGCAGAGAAGTTATCTGGTCTTGAAACTAATCCCTTTTTAAAATGATACTAAAACAAAAATAATAAAAAACTGCTCATAAACTTTGTTCAGCGCAAAGAAATCACCATTACTAGGGGGGGCTGAGAGTACCTCTAGGAGTGATAGGTTAACCTTAACTGCTAAAACATGGTGACATTTAATAGTACAAAGGACAATATTTTTAGCTGAGGACAACAGAACTGTCAGTCCATCAGCTAGATACTTATCAGTTGGGAGAGAAATTGGGAGAGATCTGGCTGCAATAGTCATCACGTGATTAATGATGAGTGACCATCACGCTGCAGCTGCACATACAGCCCAATATTGCATTTACTCTAAGAGGTCAGGTTTCCAGTAGAATTATCAAGAGCGTGTCTTGCTTAGGAGACCTTAACTTGGAGCACTTGGCATGAATTCAGTTATACGTTTCAGGAAAGACATTAAAACACAGCCAGGCTACTTGGACTACTGGAGCAGAGAGGGACCACTTTACTTTAACCTTGCAAAACAAGGATGAAAGAAGACACGACCATTTTCTGTGAATTCACAGAACGGAGGGAGATGGAGAAATACTATTTGAAATAAAGAATAATGCGAGCAGAATGAAGTGGTATAAAACTAGTCATGAATTCTTTGGAGCTGAAAATTAGAAAAAAAAAAAGCCTAAAACCATCAAAACTGGGTATAACATTCCAGAATCTCATTGCAAGAACGTGGGAAAGTAAAACCCTAGCTGGGCCTCAGATGGTTCCTAAGATTTTATAGTATTAATACCAAGAGACTGGTTTCAATGGTGGAAGGTGCACGTCAGTCCTGTTTCCCAAATCATAACACTCATTCTGTGGCCAACAGCACAAACTTCTTCCGTGAAGCAGTGCACAACTCCATTCTTGAGATTAGAGTGTACAATAGATGGTCGTATATTAGTTGTACTCTACCTGCAGGTAACTTATGCACTGATTACTACTGTAAATTCCAGTTGCTATAATTTCTTACACTCAATATAACGTGCAACATACAACAGCTCTGCATTAGAACATTAGATCAGAAATGTGAAAACAGAGTTATCGCCCAGTAACACTTATAATACATAAATCGTTAAATTGCTGCTGACTTCAAACATAAAACAGAACTGAATAATATTTATCTGACATCGATTTGCTTTGTTGCTTAGCACCACACTCCCAGCTTCAGGGATTTGGAGAAGGGAGAGCTGGTCAAATGGCCAATTAGATGGAGTCCATTAAACAAACTACCATGCTTTTTCCAAATAGGGCCACAAGCTGGCATATTTAGACATACCTCCTCCCTAACACTGTTAACTTACTGTAAAGGTAATGAATTGACAACACTATAGCAGCCTCTATTTCTGAGTTGGTTCACTGCTTGGCACTCTCTTGGATGGAAAAGTGCTATGCAGTGTACATTATGAGACTGATGGAGCAACAGATAAAAGATGATCATTTTACCGACAATACAGAAAAGGCAGTGGATGATTTGCACCTTATAAATCTGGATGTATTCTTCAATACTGAAGCTTCTAAATTGTTTCCAAAGTGACAACGTCTGCTCATCATGTTCTTCCAGTTTTCTAAAGAAATCCTTAGCCAGCCTTTTTGTGTTTTCATCTTCTGCTGTTTTATTAATCTGTACATACACCTAAAATATAATGGCATTGAAAATGTTGTAGAAGTATAATCCTCTCCTCAAATAAACATAAGCAGAATAAGTTCTACAATAACAGTACAAATAGGTTTAAAGACGACATTTTACATCTCAAAAACGTAAAGCTGTTTAAAGGAGGACATACCCTATTTAAAGAATGAATGAATAGTTCAAACTCCAATACGAAAACGTGCAGCTTATCCTGAACTAAGACAGTAATGCCATACTTTCTTACTAGTGTTACTATGATCCTCTTCTTAACCTTGAAAAAAGTGCAGCAGCAGAATATGCAAGAATTGATTTATGCATACAAGGAAAACCATCATAGAGTCTTAAAACGGAGACTGTTATCACAGTTATCACCATGTTGGTATATGTAACAATGCACAGTCTGAAAACGGGCTGCAGGTGAAGCATCAAGAACCGAGATGGATCCAACCTTCAGAAGTTCCAAGGAAACAGCTCAGATCCCAAAGCCACTTACTTATCCTAGCCCTCATACTAACATGTGCTGCCTCTGTATGGCTGGAGTCAAGCATATGAATGTCAGCATCTGACTAGAAACACACACGTGAATGGTCAGTTTGCTAAAAGCATTACAAACAGTTGTATTAGCCAACCTTACACGTGTACATTGAATTTGGCTCTCCTGTTCATTAACAAATTCCTTTACATCCTAGAAGGTCAAATGTTTGCCCAGACTGCAAATCCTTTCTCCTCAGATGTAATATTTTGAAAGCCCATAGAAAAGTTTTTAAAAAGTTAAAGGACTATGTCAAAATAATTAAATTAATTAGTGGTTACACAAGGTATTTAGACCTAAATAGTTCAACACAGATTAACTTTTAAGTCTTTGTAAGAGAGTTTTGGTCTCCAAACCATTGCAATCTTAATATCAAATAAAAACTTCCTGCAACGTTCGGACAATGAGTTAGCCAACAATACCTTTCTCTGATGGGTTCAGCCTAAAAAAAGCTCCCACAGCTAAACACTCTTGAACTTTTCCCCTTCCTTTTGCATCCCAAGATTTTCAGAGATGGAGCTTAACAGACAGTACTGCTGACAAGCCTCAAAGATTAAATGTTTGTTTAGTTCTGCCATGAGAAAGAAATGTAAAGTACAGGAAAAATTCAACTCTTTCCAAGAACAATTCTCCCCCTCCCTCCAATGATAGCTTCATATATTGCAACAAATCCTCCCCCAGCCTGTAATTTTATAAAGCAAAATTAATGCAAAAGACATACTTGCATCTGACTCCTGACCAGAATGGAAGGTGCAAAGCTGATTAGAAAAGTACATTCACCCATATGTTAATTTACATAGAAACTTTGCCATGGAATTTTTCCTGTTAAACAACCTATACATGAGATTAGTTTCACACCACAGCAGAAAGACACTACTTTGAAACTCATGTCAGTATTTGATATAAATCAAGAACACTGTTGAACAAACAGTTAAAAATCAGGAACATATGAAAAATTGTCCTTTACTGTCAGACAACTACTTTGTTAGCTATAACAGCTAGACTGAATACCACATTTTTTTAGGTCATAAACCTACATGTTGAAATAGATGGTATTTTAAAGTTTTAGTGCAAAATTCAAGTATCTTTAAAATCACAAGAACAGACTGAAATTACAAATGAAAATCAAATAATGTGCAGCAATACATAACCACAAAATATGACTAAAACCCACATACCAAATCACTTGGAGGACAGATGGGGAAGGAGGAAAAAAAAAGTGTAAGTGCATCATTTCTTGTCGTCTCTTGAAAATCAGTCCCATAGCTCTAAACACCTCTAAGTTGAGAATCTGTTTATTTCCTTGAGCAGGCCTCAGGGATGATGGAACAAGCAAACAAAATTTATCTTTGTCAAAGAAGATGACAGACTCAGAAGCAGCTATTCCGTCATATGAACAATCTGCCTAATAGGTATTTAATTGTAGTATATCTGAGCGTTCAAACACTTTGCTCCTGAGCCAATCAATGGATTCATATGAAACAGTTACCCCCTGTGACTCAGCATCCAAATGCCAGCATTACTAATAGCTCCCATATTCAGCTCAGAGAGTAAAGTACAGCTTGGCTTTGTACTAGAGAACACCTCATAGTGCCTCACAAGAGCCATGGGCAAGCCTCAAAACATTTGAAATGCTTTCTTTTGAAGGATGAGGGCTGAAACATTAGCCATGCGGAAAATTTTGTCCATCTGGCTTTACAGTGGCTGAATTTGTACAGGTAAGTACCATAATGCATATTCTCTCACTTCTGATAACGTATCATGTACGTGTTATACCCAACATGTGTTGTCAATCAAAGACCACTTACAAGTATCAAAAGGCTCACCAAAGCTTTTTGCTCATTGCACTGTATGAAACAAGAAGTGTTCTACGTAGCCATAGAGAGGTGAATATAAACACTAACTCATACGATCTAGGCATATTTGGATGGAGCAAATCAACATCCAGAACGCCATTATCACTGAATAAACAAGACTTGCTCAACAGCCACAAGCCTTATTACAAATCTGGAGAACCTAGTGGGTCAGTTTTGCTCCCAGATGCAGAGAGATGCAACCTGTAACACTTGCCCCATGCTGTCCTGGAGAGCAACCTCCTGCAAGAAAACAGTCCCACTGTCAAAAGGAATCTCCTGAATGTCTGTCAGCATAAGTTGCACCTTCTACTGGTCCTGGCTCTCTTTTACACTCTTGAAAGAAAACAGATGATTCTGCAGAGTCAGAACAGCATTGTGAAAATGACAGCCACTCCTTGTTACCTGTGTGTGTTTAGGCTCCATATTAGATACAAAACATCTTAAAAGATCCTTTACCCTACCACAGCGCATGGTGTATTGAGCAATGGAAATTAAACATTACTTATTCTAAGATATTATCAACAAGTGGATTCTACATCACAGTGGGAACGGATACAGCTGTTTACTATGGCATTAGATGCAAGACTTCATTTCCATTGCAGCTACCACAGTGACCTCAATGGTCACTTAAACCCAACAAAAGTAGTTGATGTATTTGTACTGGTATAGCTGCTTGTGGCAGGAACAGACAGCCACAACACAGGCTAAGTATCCACACAGTTACCTGCCTCTTGGGGTGTTTTTTTTTCAACTTACTGAAATCTGTCTGTACTGCCATGGCCAGGTTATCAAAAGGATTTTAAAAAAGTAGTTTAAATCCAACGTGAGTGTCTCATCATGACCCTGTAGACACAGCATTCTCTACAAAGTTAACAGCTAAGATAAATGGACTGTCCTCTTAAGTCCTTAGAGGATCTTCTCTGAACTTACCTCAACAAGGTGTTCTAAAGGATTGGATTTTAGTTTTTCGTTGTTGCCAAACTGTTGGAAACCAACACCCAGTAAGCCTTAAACAACAATTAAATGCAGAGTTAGATAATAGCCCAGAGTGCATTGCTCTCACGATTAAATTGTTTTCATAAACAAGTCTTATGAAATAATAAAATAATAAAACAAATACCTTACATACTTAAGCAGTATAATAGTGTCTGCTGTAAGAACAAATCAAAAGCATAACCTATTCCAATGCATGAAAAAAAAAAATCCTATAATAGCTAGAAACTAGTATGAAATACTATGTTGGTTTTCCAGTTTCTCTCATCATAAATGCCAGAATTCATGCCACCGGACGTGTACAGAAACTATCTTTTACGTAGCAACCAGCTATAAATGTGAAACCACACAGCACAATGTGTCCAACAACGGAACACACCCCAAAACTCCCTTCTTTTGTTTTCTTCCTTAGGAATTACCATTTCAAGCACAGCAAAAAGGCGGACAGAACGGGGTATTCCACATACCACCCATGCAATATTTTCAAGGGAACGTTTTGCTGCATGCTGAGAATTTGCAGCATTTTTAATATATTCCCAAAAGACATCTGAAAGAGCAAGAAATTCAAATCCTAGTTTTACTTTCTAAATCAAAAAAACCCATTAACCCATTTAGTAGTCTATCAATATTAACTCCGTAGCCTCTTAAGATTATTTGAGGCTTCTTTTAAGGCCATCTCTTCCCTTTGAGATGACAAGAACCAGGACTGATGTGAAGATAGCATCTGAAGAATGGCTATACAGGCATCCCTTTGAAAAGGCCTCTGCAGCTAACAAATAACGCTATCTCGAGAACTTGTCTGTTCCCTCTTGGAAACTGATTACGATAGAAATCGTCAATTGACTTAGGTAAGAAAAACAAATTAGAGTTCAGGAAATAAAATGAGTCTGAAGCTACTGAAATAGAGTTTCTCTAAGGGTAACTTGTTCTGTGACCAATTAGAGATTGATTTCCTAATGATTTATCTTAGGTATTAGGGCACACACACATCCCCCTTTTCAAGGCTGCCTGCAAGCTCCAACCTTCAGCAATACTTCCAGTTTTACCTGAATCCAAATACATCCTTCCATATGTTTCCATACTTCCCAAAATAGTCCCAGCCCCTTGCTATGCTTACTGAATGTTGGCAAGATGCAGCATGTGTTGGGACTGATTCTGACTTATATTTGCTGACTGCTTAGCTGGCAGGCTAAACACAGCAGTTAACTTTCTCTCCCAGAGGGCACTAGTCTATCTCTATCCCTACCCTGCTGCTAAGGATGACAAACAAAGAGAAATTTGTTCTTCGAGACATTTCTCTCTGTCAGATCTGACTGAAGTTTGCCAACAGTTTTATTAGGAACAAAAACTTATTAGGAGCACAAACACAGATTGACATACAGAGAGAATGACTGCGTAAGCTTTTCTTGCACAGAATGGTTGAGGTTGGAAGGGACCTCTGGAGATCATCTAGTCCAACCCCTCTGCTCAAGCAGGGTCATCTAGAGTGTGTTGCCCGGGACCCTGTCCAGATGGCTTTTGAACATCTCCAGGGAAGGAGACTCCACAACCTCCCTGCACAACCTGTGGCAGCGCTCTGTCACCCTCACAGTGAAGAAGTTTTTCCTCGTGTTCCGATGGAACTGCCTGTGGTTCAGTTTCTGCCTGTTGCCTCTTGTCCTGCTTCTGGGCACCACAGAGAAGAGTCTGGCCCCGTCCTCTTGGCACCCTCCCTTCAGATACTTGTGCACAATGAAAGGGGATCTCAGTCTTCTCTTCTCCAGGCTGAACAGGCCCAGCTCTCGCAGCCTTCCCTCATAGGAGAGATGCTCCAGTCCCTCGAATCATCTTTGTAGCCCTCCGCTGCACTCTCTCCAGTAGCGCCATGTCTCTCTTGTACTGGGGAGCCCAGCACTGGACGCAGGACTCCAGGTGAGGCCTCCCCAGGGCTGAGTAGAGGGGCAGGATCACCTCCCTCGACCTGCTGGGACAAGGGCACATTGCTGGCTCATGGTCAACTGGCTGTTCACCAGGACACTCAGCTCCTTCTCTGCAGAGCTGCTTTCCAGCAGGTCAGACCCAGCCTGTCCTGGTGCCTGGGGGTCTTCCTCCCCAGGGGCAGGACCTTGCACTTGCCTGTGTTGAACTGCAGGAGGTTCCTCTCCGCCCACCTCTCCAGCCTGTCCAGGTCCCTCTGAAGGGCAGCACAGCCTTCTGGTGGGTCAGCCACTCCTTCCCAGTTTTGTGTCATCAGCAAACTTGCTGAGGGTGCGCTCTGTGCCTTCCTCCAGGTCATCGATGAATACGCTGAACAAGACTGGACCCAGGACTGACCCCTGGGGGACACCACTAGCCACAGGCCTCCAACTTGACTCTGCACCACTGACCACAACCCTCTGAGCTCGGCCATCCAGCCAGTTCTCAATCCACCTCACTGTCCACTCGTCTAGCCCACACTTCCCGAGTTTCCCTAGGAGGATGTGATGGGAGACAGTGTCCAAAGCCTTGCTCAAGTCCAGGCAGACAACATCCACTGCTCACTGCTCTGCCCTCATCTACCCAGCCAGTCATTCCCTCAGAGAAGGCCATCAGGTCAAGCCTGACTTCCCTTTGGTGAAGGCATGCTGACTGCTCCTGATCACCTTCTTGTCCTCCATGTGCTTAGTGAGGACCTCCAGGATCAGCTGCTCCATCACCTTTCCAGGGCTGGAGGTGAGGCTGACAGTTTCCTGGCTCCTCCTCCTTGCCCTTTTTGAAGGCTGGAGTGACACTGGCTTTCTTCCAGTCCTCAGGCACCTCTCCTGTTACCCAGGACCTTTCCAAGATGATGGAGAGTGGCCTAGCAGTAACATCCACCAGCTCCCTCACCACTTTGTTACCTTAAGAAACCTGCCCAAAACCTGCTTCAGAGTTGACAACACCTTTACCATGTTTCAGCAGAACAAAATTTCAATTATTACGTTTTAAAGGCTTTGACAATAGCAGTTTTAGTAAAAATGCTGACAGATCATTAATTACAGAGGACTGTTATAATATCCCTATGCTATAATATCTCAGTGCTCCACAGAATTATTTGTAATTATAATAAAAACCTGCCAGATATTTGGGCTGAGCCAGCACATAGAAAGAGGGGAGCATCCATTTTGAAAGCAACAGTTGGAACTACTAGTTCAAAAGTATGATTGTAACAGCTGTGCTACGGATAACAGACTCACATGGTAATAACATGCCTTGTCATCTTCTTTCTTTCAGGAAACTTTGCATTGCTATATATATATATATATATTTATATAAATATTCCTGATATTCAGACTTATGAGCATAATTTAATATCTTCAAAGACAGAGTGGATGAAGTCAGTTGAGAAGTCAACTACACTGTATTTCTTTGCTTAATTGTCCTTGCCACATTCACTACACAAGACCATATGATAAAACTAGATCTAAGGGACAAAAACAAATGAATGAAATATGCAACGATGAAATTAATTTAATTTTCGGTAAACTCATCGTATATTCAATTCCTATGACACAAATCAGAAGTGGAGTGAAGCTCAGCTAAAAAATAATGTTTGATGAGAAACAGAATCAGGAATGAAGGATGTGTGGAGGAAATAATTTGACAAAGGGAAAAAATAACCTATTACTGCCCTCACAGTCATAAAAATGTTCAACTGTCTAAAAGGCAGGAATTTACTTTAAAATGGAAGATGAGTAGAACTGAACACATTTTAGTTATATTATATACACCGCTGAATCTGAATACAGAGATGGAGTAGAAGTAGGATTTCTGCTAAATTTTTAACCCAGCTAAGTTCCTAAAGCTCACTCACTGGCATCGCCATAAACAGTTGTACCAGCACAACTGAAGGGGGCAGCAGTAAGGGCTGGAATTAGCAAAAGTTACTGCTTGATATCGATTTGGCTTTGTTTGCCATTTAAAAATAAATATATTGGCACTGTTTTCACAACCCACTGCAAAAGAAGTGGGGCAGTTTTATAGTTACCGCAGGTATACCAGCTTTCAAGAACAAGGAAGTGGGCGCGATTTTTTGTTTAATGCCAAAAGTGTTTCAAAATTAGCTGGGGAGGAGAGAGGGGAAATCAGAAGTAGAGAAAGGAGTATGAGTCAATTTCAAACGTAAAACTAACAACAGACATTAACAAACGACTCTTATGGATGAGTCAATTGCCTTACAAGAGGAATATTTACAAATCTAGTAACCACACAAAAACGCTCGCTCATCAGGGAATAAATATTGACCCATGCTGGGTTGCACGTAAGAGGATTTTTCAGTCCTCACTATCTGGTGGACAGTTCAGAGGAGGTAGGAATGTGTTTGTGTGTCCACAGGCAAGCATGCAAGAGTGAGATGACAGTCTTCTGGAGCTTATTTATTTGCATCTTCTCCCTCCTACACACCTCTTTCTTGCAATATTTTAATGGGGAAACTGAATATTTTGGGGAAGTTTTTGTGTATCTTTGATATAGAAACTCCCTGGGCCTCAACCTGCCAAAAATATAGTTTCTGTGCAAGTTAGTTATACTCTATGAATAATGACTTACACTTTCCAGAGGAAACAAACAAAAACAAAAAAACCCACAACACACAAAAACATGACCAAATACAGAATAAGAATATACATTTCTTTACAACTGTTCTACTGTTATGTGTACAGGTGTGGCACAGGTTAGCAAGCTTACTATTCCTCAATTGTTGCATATGCAAAATCTGAATAAGGAAGACAGTATCACAGTAGACATGCAACAGCTATGACTGTCATGTTCAGCACTTTATCTAGAGGCAGCAGCAGCAGCCCGGTCAGCTACTAGGTCTTCCCAAGTATAAGCAGAACTCTTAGAAAATATTTATGCTGCCCTTTAAAAATAAACCTCAGATAACCCAAATGAAATCACAGAGAGAAGCTACTGAGGAACAGGGGGCTTGCTGGGTAAATTTCTTCCTGTATTGCTTCCACAGTAGTATAGCTCATGCTGCTCAAGAATCAGTCTGGGTTGTTTTGCTCATATTTTGAGAACGTTACTTCTCAAATAAGACTACGTTACATGCATGGAAATACAGTATTACTCTTTATGAACCCAGGGTGAACTCAATTTGCCTGCAGAAAAAGAAGGTGGAATCCTAGACCACGTCATACAGTAGAAAAGGGAATACAAGAAATCAAAATCGAAACATACCAAACTGCATGCCCCAGTCACCAAGGTAATTTATTCTTGTTACTTGATGTCCCAATGCAACTTTGAGATTTGCTATGAAATTTCCTGGTAAAGAATCAAAATTAGCATTAATTTTTCAAAGCATTAGACATTCTCTCATCCCAACAGACTGGTTTTCTGTTTTTGTTATGACCCGCTTCTGCTTTCCCTCTTCATTTTGAATACAGTCAGATTAATTACTCTATAGAATGTGCTAGAATTCTTCAAAGCTACAGGCAACAACCTTCTGAGCAGGAGAAGGGTTGTGCATTTGATAGGTGCTGTAAAGTATCTCATACCGTGGTGATCAAACATACACGTGCATATGTGTATGCACACACCGCAAAGTATGTGAACACGAAAAACACTTTTTATAGTCTCTCTATATCCTCATAAAAAGTGTGGTAGCATACATGATTCCTCTTTTATAGTCACGCAGCCTCATACTAGCAGGTTAAGTACTCAAATTCACAAACTCCTGTTACCTGTGAAACTAAATAGAGAACATTAAGTCCTGGATCTCTGTATAACGCTAGAGCAGGAGTGAACTCTACACTTAACGCACCACATGCCTGATATGGTCCAAACTTACCATAACCCATGAGCACTTCTTGGTTTGCACTTTTATTACAACAAAACCCCTCCATTGCTCTCCTCTGCTTAGCTGTATCACACAAGTACAAAGAAGAAATATTCACTTTCCTACTTCTGTTTTCCTGTGCTTCAAGGGCACTGTTTAATTACAATATTGATATAGAAAGGTACAGAAAGTTTTCTCTTCTCCTGTTATTGTAATAACACATTATAGCTTGCCATCACTTTCTGTTCCATTCACGGTATTCAGTCCACTTATTTTCTGTTGTACGGACATTGATCTACAGAATTTTTTTTTGAAAGTTGATCTTTACAGGAAAGGATGTAGAAAGAGAGGATGATCAGCCAAAACCCCCATCCCATAGTTTGATCCCATAACTTGATACAGTTACGCATGACATATTAAATACAATTAATTATTAATATTTTAACTCCACAGATGCTTTTAGCATCTTCTGCCAATAACCTACTACTTTTTATAATGAGAGATGGAAAGTCCAGGGAGAAGAGAGAACTAATGGCTTCCATATGCCATTAGAGTACTGAACAATAAACTAATTAATTGTTCCATTAGAGATGACAGTCTGTGTTAGTAATACTGGCGTAAAGTAATTAAAATACAAAAGCAAACTTTTCATAAGACCACTGCTAAAACATAACAACCTGACTTCTCCACAGTCCAGCACAAACTAGAAATTTAAAGTTCAAAGGTCTCTCAAAACACCTCAGTGAAAACTGCCATGGGTATCTTTGCTGAACAATTTTAAACTGCTTCATTTAATGTTCGCAGGCATAAAACTATATTATGTGCGACTTAATAAATCTTCCAGCAACAAATCATAGTCTTGTCTTTGCTGCTTGATGAGTAAAAGGTTTTTAATTAGCGAGTTGAACTTGAAACACCCACTCCACTAGGAGAACGAAACGTCAGCAGTGTTCCCCTGTCAAGTTAAACATGAAGACAAAAAAAAGTCCTGTAGGTCACAGTTAAATGCTTACTTACCTATTATTGTGGAACGCAAGTGTCCTACGTGAAACTTTTTGGCAATGTTAGGGGAGCTGTAATAAATTTCCACAAATAATGTTTGTTCAGTGTACAAAGTAAGATTGCCAGATCAAAAGATTCAGTCAAAGGTTTTCAACTTGCGTACAGCAAAATAACTGATATAAAATCAGTTTTCAATATTCCTTTAAAACTCCCTGATTAGCTTCTGATCCAAAGAGCAAAGCTTTCTATCCAATCAATTTTCCCTCCTATATAAGTTAATAACCAGTGTTACTTGTGTGGGGGAGGGGGAATAGATGGACAAACAAAAAACAAACAAACAAACAACTATGCAGGTAACAAAAGACTTGAATTATCTTCTTACTTTCTGCATGTTTTGGCAAAATAGATTACTATCCTCACACCTTCACTAGAGACAAATCTGACACCAGAACACGGGACTTTGTCTACAAGAATCAGTAACTACAATCAAGCATTCTTCAAACAGTGTTCTCTTTAAGGCTTGTAAATGGTATATCTTCATGCCAACAAACTCCAACATTGCTTTTTAATGTGAATGTCTTGTTTAGTTTATTGTTTGCATTTCAGTTCAGTTTAAATTTATTCCTACTGGTATATTATTAGTCAGTCTTAAGCATTTATCTGAAAAGTCTTGCAAACTAATTGAGCTAGATCTGCAGATTGTTGTTTCTTCTTTATTGATCAAAGGAAAAACAAACAAACAAACCAACCCCTCCCTCCACAGTTGTTTGTCCCTAACAATAAAGTGGAGGTTGAGCTATGAACATTCAGCTCTCAAATTAAAGCCAAGTGCTTACTTTCTGTGACTCAGGAAGCCGACAAAGGAACATAAGCGGACAAAAATATTTATACATAAAGAGGTCTGAGTCAGCTGCTTTTCTTTCCACGAGCAGGAGAACGCAAACAAAATTGCACTGGCCAGAAACAGCACTGGGCCAGCAATTCCGAAGTTTTAGCAAGATAAATGCATGACTGCTTTAGCAAGTCAGGGAGGTAGCTATTAAAGAAATCCATGCAGCAGGGTTGGAAAATAAACTGAAGCCCAGGTGGAAAAAGAAGTAGGCTATTAGCTGAAAATTCAAATTATGTTCCCTGATAAAATAAAATAACAAAAATAAAAGACGCCTACTTACAAAGTGAAAGATACTATCCTCTAAATGAGGATATTCTTAGTGGATGGCATTGAGAGGCCTGAACTGTTTAAAAACCAAAAAGGCAAATAGGACAGATTATTAAATACAGTTCAATACAATACTATAAATATAGTTTAACTTCACGGGCATCGTACATTACGACAATGAACGTCAGTCAGCAAGATAAGGCAATTTTCTCAAAGGACTCATCGCATGTGCTTACCTAAACTCAACCACCGCCTTTTGTCTAGGCACTGTAGAGAAGAGTTCACTTTTTATTCCATATTCTGAGCCATCTTTCAACACCTGCTGCAACACAGTCTAAAGCACAACAAAGAAAACGCGAGGAAAATATGTTTCAACGACAGAACGTTGAATCAGAAAAACTGTGTACCAACCACACAAGTCAATCCTACAGATGTTACTCACGTAAGCAATCAGATTGCTAGTTTGCCAATGAGACAGAAATACCATTAACTTTTGAAAGCTGCATCAGGTCAATTAAAAAAAGAGAAATTTCAAGCAGCGACTAGGCTGATTTTGTTGAAAACTTGAAAGGATAGGGAATGCCTACCGTTCTCCAAAAGTCATTGTTTAGTTAGGTAACATGACGGGGCAAGAGAGTAACCCGGGGTTAATTAGTGGGCAGGAAGGGAGAGTCAGTCCAAGGATATGGGTAGGGCAGTGACCTCATTCAAAGTGAGGGAGTCCTCCTCTTGCAACGAGGAGTCTCATCTTACCCTAATCAGGACCCTCACCTCTCCTTATTCAGGTAACACATTTTAAAATAAAGGCTATCCTGTAGAACTAGACCATAAAACTGGACAAAGCCTACGAGTAGGCTTGACTAGATAATTTACCTCACGGTGTATTCAAATTTTCGATCCAAGGCTTTAGTCAAGGTGTGAACATTTAGAATGCAGGGGATACCCACAGTGCATGGCTCAGCCAGATCACATAGGCCCAACCCATTTAGGACACACGAAACTTCCCTCACACTCCTTGTGATTGAGGGCCTGCAAGACATACCGTGTGCTCTGACTGCATGAGCGTTACCAGATGTATACAGATCACCCAAACAGCACACGAGCACTCCTCTCTCTCTCTCCAGAGAATCTCAGAAATATGAGCTTTCTAGTCGTCCTGATTATCAATAAAGTCACTCTAAGAGACCAAACAACCACTGCAGCATCCTCTCCCTCACTTCGTTGCAGGTAGACTGAAACAACAGCTCATGGAAAGTACCTTATGGGTTGGTCATTACTATTATACTATGCTATACTAAAGAGATATTTAAACATCAATCAATGGTTTAAGTGAAGATAAAGCAGACATGAAAGAGGCTTAACCCTTTCTAATTTGGGTAGTATAAATTTAAATTGCTTTTGTTAGGTTATGTGATAAAAACCTCATCCTCACAAACACAGAGAGGCACAGAGGAACAATGGCAGATGGGAGAACCTCAGTAACCCTGTCAGAGGAATGAGCCCCTACTCCAGCTCCTCCCAGGGCCGCTCCAGGACAGCCATACTGTCCATGTGGGAAACCCAGCAAGATGAATCAAAGGTGGTGACTCTCCAAACCACCTCACAGGCGGAAGGCAGTTACTGCCTAGCAGCATGGTACATATCACAGGATGTAAGAAAAAAAGCATTTTGGGATTGTACAAGACTTATTATCGGATGTTTAGGGAAGGGACCAAAGGCAGGAGAAGGGAGGGATCAAGATGGTTTGGGAAGAAGTAAGTGTGGCAAAACAGAGGAGTAAGGGGATAAAGGGAGCTGGTCCCCTGCTAAAAGGGCTGGTCAATATGCTTCTGTAGCCATGCCCTGCACTTGATCAGTACAGTCTGTCCTATCGTCTTACTGAATTCCATTTCTAACTGTTCCCCTGGGTGAGGAATTCTCTCTTCTGTGTGCATTTGTGTGTGTGGAGGTCTAAGAGCTAGTAACTGGTGCAGGACCACAGATCAGAGTGCCTGAGTGTCTGTGGGGCCAGCAACTGTAGCCAGTGAGGGTATGCATGTCAATGTGCGATTGCTATTAACTAGGAGGCCACATTAGCCGGTGAGTAGGTTAAGTGGCCTGGGAGTCAGGTGTGGCTGTCTGTCTGTCTCTAGCAGTGAGACCACAGGGGTAGTTGGCTACTGGAGGGACCAGGGGAGTTCCAGGCAACTGCCTGCCAAAGGGGCTGTGGAGTCTGAGGCTGACTAAGGCCTTTCCTGTTGGAAGACAGTGTGCATACACAGGTGGGAATAAAAAAAACAGGAGACTTGCACAAGAATTCAAGCCTCCTTAAGTTCACAACAGGAAGAAGAAAACAAAACAAATGTGCATTTTACTAAAAACAGCTAGGTCTTCCTAGGTACCAAAAGCCATCCTGCCTTTTACTCCTTAAGCACCAAAGGCGGCCTACTATTCAGTCCTCATGTGTCCAAACAGTCCTCCTTCCCTCCTCCCCCTCCCCCCCAATAAACAAGTCCCTGTACATATCTTCTATACTTCTGTTTGTCACAGAGATGCCAATGTACTACAAAACCTAATACATGAAGCTCTAAGTATTGGACAAACTCATTGGAAAATATAGAGGCCTTTAACCACATGAACTAAAGTGGAAATCTCTTTCCATTCAGTGGGAAGAGATTTTTTCCAAAATAGCCTTAAAATTCTTCTGCAATAGTTATTGGAGAGATAGAAGAAAGAATCGCTCCTGTAGAGGAACCTTTAATTCCATTCTTATTACAGCACCTAATACGGCAAGGTGCACACACGCACAAATCATGAAATTCGTCATAGACCTGTTCTCCTTACCAAGGAGATTCACAGCTAAAGCTTATCTCCTCCTTTTCCCTTTGTGACTTAACGCAAAAGTTTATGTTCTAATTCCACATTCTTCCAGCATTTTTTCTGAGGCCACACAGTTCTGCCTGAATCCTAATGCTGACTAGAGTCCCCAAAGGGAGAAGGCCTCGTGAAACCCTGACCGTGAATAAAATTTAATACTGAAACTACTCTCAGTGAGCAGTCAGTTGCTATGTTCTTATCAAGATGGATTATAAATAGCCAATGCAAAACTAAAGGGATTTTTTTAGGCAATAAATAAAGCAATTAATTGATAGCAACGCCTAGGCATTAGCAATTCCTAAAAAGAAAGAACCTCATCACTTAGGAAAGCTGACTACAAGCATAAGTGAACAGTGAAAGTTCTTGCAGAAAGAGGGCTTCACCAGTACTAGTTAGGACCTGATTTCCTGTCCCTCAATTCATGTGAGGTTATTTTTTTCAAGATCACAAAGTCATTTGCCATAAGCATTGCCTGGCCTATACACCAACGCTTTGAATACCACCACAATGTAGTTTGCACCACAGGTTCCCTAAATCGTCTTAGCAAAGCTTTCATCCAGTCCCACTCTAACACAAGAACTCCAGTCCATCAGTACCAGCCTTCCACTGTCTTCCTCAAGCTCTTGCAAATACTCCAGAGTGTAATTGAGACAGCAGTCTTACAGATAGAGTGGTATCTTCCTTTTACCATGTTATTACTTTAACAAATGAAGCTTTCAGTTTTGGTCAGACGTTGGGCTTCAATGAACAACGCTTCCTTTGTTTTGTAGCAAAGTATGAAACGGTAAAACTGCAGTCAGTATTTTCAAATATCTTTCTACCATCCTTCTCCATTTTAAGCAAGAGTCTTCACATTCAAGATTAAAACTTGAGTTCATACTTTAGAAACTCAAAGGACATGACAAGTCTACCTTTTCTCCTCCCCCTTTTCCCTTTAAAAGAAAAAAAAAATTTATAATTATCAACTAAAGGTACATACATTGTTTCCTCATATATTTTTAAAGAGTAAAGTCCTGTGACCCTCATCCCAAATTCCGGGCCTACGTAAAGAAAAAGCAGTAACAGGAATCCTTGAGGAGAACACATGAAAGATAAATAGTTTTACATAGATAATACCTTTCAAAGACAACAGTAAGTATTTTTGAGTTTTGTACTGAATAATTTATTTTTACCTTAGCGCACCCGAAATATCAGCAGTACTTACCTTTGCTAGCAATTCCCTGTTTATCGTAAAGTTCACTGTTCCTGGACCAGTGCTGATTTCACTCACTACAGCATCACATTTTAGCTGAAACAAAAGCAGAACTCCTTCATGTAAAAAAGTAAATTGAAAAAAAAAAAATCCTTTATTAATTCAATCCATTAAAAGTATCTAATGCAATTCATCAGATTGGAAGAAACCACAAATGGATCATTTAATCCATTTTGCTTCCGTCCCTGCATATATCCAATCCGCATTTCTTTCTTTAACTGGAAGCAGTAGTTGATCCCTTTATACATACAGAAGCTGAGATATATCTGACAGTTTACACTATACATGACAGCACATTGCAAAAAAAATACATATAACCAAGATCAATCTCTTAAAGAAAACCTGAGATAGAAGTTTCAGGCTGCTGTTTCTTAAAGCTCTTGGATTTTAAGACCAGTAACATTCTGCAGCATCCAACGATTAAAAAATAAAGATGTTAAAGGCCAATACATTAAAAAATTGCATTTAAAGTGTCCATAAGACACGTTTTGAAAATTCCGAACCCTTAAGGAATATCTGGGCACCCAGGCTCTAATGTCAACCTTCTCCTTGCACAAGTTGTGGTCTCCTCTGAGGCTAACAGTTTTGGCTTCTTTCTTATTAAACTAGTTGCCTTTCATAGCCAAGAAACTTTCTCAAAAAAAAAAAAAAAAAGAAAAAAAAAAGGAAAGCATATAAAAGACAACACAATCACTTGGTTATTATCTTCGACAGAGGCAAGCCATATGCTCTTACAGAAGAGTATAAGCATGAAAAAGAAATTCTGTTCCCATGTTAGGCCTCACGCTCAGACACTAATTTAAACATGTGATGAAATCATTGTTAGCTTTCAAGTTCCTTAGCCTTCAGAAGCTCCAAAAGAAACAAATTCCATTGTTTAATCACAGGCTATATGAAAAAAGATTTCTTGCATTGATTCTGAATTTCCCAGTTCATTTTATTAAAAGTCCTTTTAACTTATGTTTTAGGACAGAAAATAAAAAAAAGGAAATTCCCACTGGACTTTCTCCATATTGTTTGTTCTGCTACACATTTTACAAATATTCTGTCATTTGCATCTCAGTTTTTTTCATCTCTCCTTAATACAAGCGTTCATCCGGCCTCTCTACAGCTTTACCAGCCTTTTCTCCAAACACCCTACGGCTCTGTAGTAACTAGATCTCCTCATGCCTAAGACTTGGATTAGAATGCCACCATGCTGTACAAAGGAATTAAAAAAAAAAAAAAAAGTCCCCTCAGCAAAGAGCTAACAGGCCAAAGATGAGACAAGAATCACCCAGCCAGATAAAAATCAAAAGCACATGGAAATGAGACAATTATGACCTTTCTGACAGACAGTTCTTAGCACACCACAGCACATTATGTTTCCTTCAGCATATTCTCATATTTCTTAGGCCTTTTCAGTCATCAAGAAGAATTTTAGTCTCTTCTGCGTAAGCTAAATCTCTGTATTTCCAACTATCGTGACCTATTTCCTTAGTGACTGAGAGCATACTATTAAATCTTGAGGCACACCATCAACTGCTTATCATAAAACTTAGCACCGCCTACTTTTTGCTATCTCTCCACTACTTTTCGATATATAATGATATTATGCCGATTTCTGCGTTACTTACCTTCTTTGTGGATGATATGCTCAGTTTAAATAAATTATATCAAGTGCCTGTCCTTTATCCACTACCCAACAAAAAAAATATTCTACGGGATTAAAGGTATTTTTTCCTTTACTTAGCCATCATGCTCCTCTCAATTTTGGGGCTTACTCTGATAATCTGTTCTTTTTTACTGTTTTAACTGTTGTTCCACATAAAGATGTGAGGCTCAGTAGCCACAGTTTCTTTAATGACCCACAGTAAATGAAGGAAAGATACATAATATTTGTAGGTTTCTAATCACTGGGAACAGCAGCTGCTTTTAAAGTGGGAGATTTGACACAAGGAAAAATTCTGGAATACGTTGTCCATGGATGGTGTCTTTCTCTGTCCTTGGAGGATTCTAGATTGGAATAGAGAAAGTCCTGAGTAACCTTGTCCAAAAGCTCAGAACAACCTGTTTTGAGCAGGGGGTTGGAATAGATCACTTATTCAGTACCCTTCCAACCTGAATGATCCTCTGATTATAGACTATCTTTAAGTTGTTTCAAAACGTCTGGTTGTACACGCGTGCCTGGCGAGCAAACACAGCTTTGATATTCCGCACTACTGGCTCTTCTTTCACCTCAGTCAGAACATTCATCTCTCACAAGAATAGGTCAAAGGCACGGATCTCCTCAACATCTCAGCAGTAAAGAATGAAATGGAGAAATAACATAGCTTCTCAGAAATATTCTGTCTTTATTTGTCCTCTTTAACTCTTGATCGCATAGCAAGCCCACTAATTCTTTCTCAAACTTCCTTTTTCAGATGCAAATGAAGAATCTTGCTTGTACTTTCATTTTTTGATCTTTCCTCTTTGCGACTAACTTTGGCACAACTTCCTAGTTTATACTCCTCTTCATTGGCATCACTAAGACAGTTTTAGATTGTAAAGGATTTTTTCCAGCTCAAATGATCCCTCAGCCACAGTGATTTACTCCTCACCTTCTAGTCCCACTTCTGTTCAAGTTTATGCAAACTGCACTTCTCAGATTTTTTTGTTGTCTTCCCCATATGTAACTTTTATTCCTTCAAGCTTTGTGTCATGTTTGCAGACCACTCCCCACTTGTTTTGAATCTTCTTCATGCTGTAGTTACTCTTAATGCCTCAACTACTGCCATTTCTCAGACTACCACTTAAGAACATGAGCCTGTCTGCACACGCCTGAAAAACACACCGTTCTAAGAAACCTCAGTTTCAAGCGCTTGGGGATTCTGAACTCTGTCCTCTTTAACCCACAGGCTAAAGTTCTCCATTGTCGCTCCAATGCTAGATTTTGTCGTCTTTGGTTTTTCAGACCATTGCATACTCATTTTTTCCCCCTCAAGTTTTGGGGATCAGTACGGACCACAGTACACTCTTTATATAGTGCCTCCTAACTTCACAACTATTATTTACTCTAAATTGTTTTAAAACAATACTTTCTTAGGAAATTATCTAATAGTCTTAATCTAATCCTACTTCTCCAATTCCCTGTGAAGATTCTGTGTGCGATTATACTAGATGTGGTCATTAAGCTACTCTGTGCCTGGAGGAAGGCACAGAGCGCACCCTCAGCAAGTTTGCTGATGACACAAAACTGGGAGGAGTGGCTGACCCACCAGAAGGCTGTGCTGCCCTTCAGAGGGACCTGGACAGGCTGGAGAGGTGGGCAGAGAGGAACCTCCTGCAGTTCAACAAAGGCAAGGGCAGGGTCCTGCCCCTGGGGAGGAAGAACCCCAGGCACCAGGACAGGCTGGGGGTTGACCTGCTGGAAAGCAGCTCTGCAGAGAAGGACCTTGGAGTCCTAGTGGACAACAAGTTAAGCACGAGCCAGCAATGTGCCCTTGTGGCCAAGAAGGCCAATGGGATCCTGGGGTGCATGAGGCAGAGTGTTGCCAGCAGGTCGAGGGAGGTGATCCTGCCCCTCTCCTCAGCCCTGGGGAGGCCTCCCCTGGAGTACTGGGTCCAGTTCTGGGCTCCCCAGTACAAGAGGGACATGGCGCTACTGGAGAGAGTCCAGCGGAGGGCTACAAAGATGATGAGAGGGCTGGAGCACCTCTCCTATGAAGAAAGACTGCAAGAGCTGGGCCTGTTCAGCCTGGAGAAGAGAAGACTGAGAGGGGATCTCATCAACGTGTACAAGTATCTGAGGGGAGGGTGTCGAGAGGATGAGGCCAGCCTCTTCTCCGTGGTGCCCAGCAACAGGACAAGCGGCAACGGGCAGAAACTGAACCACAGGAAGTTCCACCTGAACCTGAGAAAAAACTTCTTCACTGTGAGGGTGACAGAGCATTGGACCAGGTTGCCCAGAGAGGTAGTAGAGTCTCCTTCCCTGGAGATATTCAAAACCCGTCTGGATGTGATCCTGGGCAGTGTGCTCTAGAGGTCCCTGCTTGAGCAGGGAGGTTGGACTAGATGATCTCCAGAGGTCCCTTCCAACCTAAACGATTCTGTGAAACAAATGCTTGAAGAAAAAAAGCAAACAACCTTATGATGGCTATTACATCTCTAGTCTGCAAGTTCATTATTGCAAATATATGAGATTAATATGTTAGCATACCTTCTCTACTAACGTCTGAGCTTGAAGTTGAAGATCTTGTGCTGAGTGATAACTAGAACCGTCTTGTATTACAGAATCAATGGAAAGCTGGAAATCAGCAACATGCCTGAAAAAAAGCAGAACAGATGACAATCAAGAGAAAAACCTGTTAAAATGATGGGGAGATTTGGCAGATCCAAGCTGACTCTGTGTATGCCATGTCTAGCTCGCAAGCATAAAGCAGTCACAGATACCTGAAAGTTCATATGATTAGAAAACTCAAATAGAAAGCTAATTACTTTCACCCTAATTAATACAATAATCACATGAATATAGGAACACCATTTTATAACAATCAAAAAAAAATCTGCTCATGAATAAATGAAATTTACTTGTTAACATCATTACAGCTCTCAAGCACGACACTGAAAAAAAAATCCATAACTCCACACACTTTCTAGGCAGTTTCACATTCAGATCCTAAAGGTTGTAACATGTGCCACACAATCACTGATTATTATTTTTACAGTTTTTACAGTAGTTATGTTTCTTTTGAGCTTGCTTGAAAAAAGTATAGTGATTTAATTAGATTTAAGTATCTTCTTATAATTGGACTGGTATATTAGCTGACGCGTGCTTTCCTGTATTTATTTTTCCCTGAAGTCCTGTTAAGCACGTGTAATAATAAGCACAAGAGAAAATAATATAATACAGCATAATATTGTAACATAAAACAAAAAAAATACCTTTTTTTGGAGACAGGAACTGCAGAGATGGACTTTATTAAATTTTCTGGTGGCAGATCCAAAATTTTTGATAGCTAAATTTGAAATAAAGAACAAAGTAGTTTAAATAAAAAAAAAATCCAGTAAAAATACCACTCCCTGTTTAAATACCAGTGGAGGGTGTCATTTATAGTTTGAAGCAAATTTCCTCACAGGTTTAAAAAAAAAAAAAAAAAAAAAAAACGTAAAAAAAAACAAAGTCCGCTATTTGAAGCCCGCTGGTTTAAAGTATGCAATACAAACTCAACAAAGTAAACACGTCCCAGAAAAGGCTAGATGTAATACTATACATAGCTTCTTTTTTTCCCCTTAAGGAACCCGATCATTCCCCTAAACGCCCTCTTCTACCCACCCAGGCTCTATATCTTACTTAGCTTATCAGGTAGGTAGTAAGCAGGACTAAGAGTACCGTACCGCACAAGGGTATCACTTTTCATATAAGCTACCAAAAAAGCCGAAATGAAAACTCTCTTGCTCAATGACTCCGGGGCTTAAGTTAATGGGGAGGGGAACGGAGTCAAAGCCTGAGGCACTGCTGCAGGCCTGGTTCGTGAGGGGAGCCCTAAAAAAGGGGCCTAACGTGAGCAAGAGGGGGCCGGGGACCCGCCTC